GTGGCTGCCACCTGCACAAACCAACCAGGGCCGAGGACAAACTGCAACTGAAGTATGTGCCCTTAATGGGAACCGAACCCAGGTCTCTTGGGACCACACACTGATGGTCTAACCACTGAGCCAAACTGGCCAGGGCATTTTTTTAAAAAATAAATCTTCACCCAAGGATATTTTTCCTTTGGCTTTCTGAAGCGGGGTGGGGGTGTGGGAGACAGAGAGAGAGAGAGAAACATCAATGTGAGACACATCTATTGGTTGCCTCCTGCATGACCCTGACCAGGGTCAGGGATCAAACCACAGCTGAGGCACGTGCTTTGACTAGAATTGAACCTGAGATTTTTTGGTCCATAGACCGATGCTCTAACTACTGAGCCAAACCGGGCAGGGTACCTCCCAGATTTTTAACTGCTACATGTGGGTTGTACCAGCTCATACCTATTCTGCAATCTTGACCAGAAACCAAAAATTTAATATTTTCTATCATCATCCAACCATTATTTTTTATTTCTTGCCACATAAAAGTGTTGTTTTCTTGATTATAAAGATAGAAATTTTGAAAAGAATTAATAGGGAAAAAAAGACCATTTAGAGGAAAATAAAAATCACTTATAAGCTCTCTCTTACTCACTAGTACCATTATTGTGAATTGTTCTCCAGGCTAATTTTAATGCATAAATGTACTACTCTATAAGTTATTCGAATGATTGGTGTTGTGGTGGATATACTCTTTTATAGCAGCTTTTTACATGTAGCAAATACTATTGTGAATACTTTCTCATGTTGTCAGGGACAGAGACTGGGCAGTGAGCCCGTCTGCCTCGGGCCGGCCTGGAGTGTGTGGGTTCCTGACTTTGTACATGAAAGATTTCACAATACAAGCCCAGGTGATTTTGAGAGTATGTCTATAAAAGCTGGGGACAGTGACACAAAGACAGGACTTAGAGTAGAAGAAGCAACAGGAAAGAGCCAAGGTGGTGCTCTGCATTGGCTCCAGGAAACGTTACAGGAAGGAAGGGGTCCAAGACGGGGCTACTTTTAGCTCACTGGAAAGTCAGAGCAAAGGGGGATGTGGAGACAGTTTCAGGGGGTAATCCCAGCTGCTGCCCACTGCTCCCCTGGTTGCAAGTCTTGTGGGGACCCTTGGATTTTAGGAGAAAGTAAAAAGTTCATGCCTAAGAAAAGACATGGATGTGCTCCAGAGAAAGCCTGCACTGGTCTTTGTCTTGTGGGTTCTTATCTGTTTTTTTGTGGGTGGGAATCCCAGGGGAGGTCTGTGTGGAGGGTCTTAACAGAATATTTATTAGTTTTCCAGGGGTGTCCTTCTGTTGATTCATTAAAATGAGTATATAGGGGAGTTTGGGATCATTTTCTGGGCAGCATCACTGCTTTACTTTTATCTTGGGTCTATGTGGCTCTAACTGGGTTTTTTTGTTATTTGTTCCCCTGACTTCATCTGTCCTTGGGTTTGGCTAGACAAATGGCTCTGTAACCTACCTCCCAACCAGAGTGATTTAAGCTGTTTATTCTCTGGTTAGAGAGGAGGGTATAAACCAGTTGCCATCAAGTGTCCTTGGTCAGAGAAGTTAAGGCTTTGCAATTCACTAGCTGGCTATAAATTGGTCAAATTGTTTGGCCTTGTTTAATTATCTTGTCTCAGTTTCCCTATTCTACTAGTTTCTTACTATCCTGGCTCAATGTCATTCAATGTTTTCATATAATAAAATGTTCTCATGTGATAATATTAAATGTTCACAATAATAATGATAATGTTACCACTTACTGAGTGCCCATGGTATGTTATGCCATCCTGAGTGTTTTACACAACGTGTATCAACTTCTTTAATCCTCCCAACAGTCCTAAAAGGCAGAGTCATTACCCTCATTGCACAGGTGAAAAAGCTAGGCTCAGAGAGGTCAAGTCATGTGCTCAAAGGTGTGCAGTAACCAGCACGTCCTTACTCTCCCTCTGCTCTTTCCATGATAGCAGATTGCCGCTCTTGATTTTTAATGACTGCATAGTATGACTTCAGGTTAAAAATACTTTAATTTATCTAACTCTCTTTTTTTCAGATATTATGTTGTTTGATGTTTTTGTTATGATTGAGTAACATTTTATATGTACAAATGATCTCTCTCTCTCTCTCTCTATATATATATATATATATACATATATACATATATATGTGTGTGTGTGTGTGTGTATAGGGTCTGACAATTAACAGCAATTACCTCTAAAAAATAAGAATGCATGGAATGGGTGAAGAGGAAAAGGGGAAGTTCCACATTTATCTTATATACTTCTTTCTGTCTATAACTATTTTTTATAATCACAAGCATGTATATTTAGAGTAATTAAGAACTAATAATAAAATACATTAATGATGGCTTTTGTATTAGGATTCTTGGGCATATTTCTGATTATTTTCTTTGGAGAAATTTCTCAAATAATTAATAAGTCAAAAATGGGAGCATGCTGCCTGGCCGATGTGACCAGTGGTTGAGCATTGACCCATGCAACAAGAGGTCGCCGGTTCGATTCCCAGTCAGGGCACATGCCCAGGTTGTGGGCTTGATCCCCAGTAGGGGACATGCAGGAGGTGTCTAGTCAATGTTCTCATTCATCAATGTTTCTATCCCTCTCTCCCTCTCCTCTCCTCTCCTCTCTCTAAAATCAATAAAGAAAAATATTTTATAAAAATTTAGGAGCATGCCTGGCTGGTGTGGCACAGTGGTTAGATTATGGACCCATGCACCAAAGGGTCACAGGTTTGATTCCAAGTCAAGGGCACATACCTGGGTTGCAGGTTCCATCCCCAGCCCTGGTTGGGGCACATGCAGAAGGCAAACCAATTGATGTGTCTCTCTCACATCCATGTTTCTCTCTGTCTCTTTCTGTTTCTCTGTCTCCTCCTCCCTTCCACTCTCTGAAAAATTAATGAAAAAAATATCCTTGGGTGAGGATAAACAACAATAACAAAATTGGGAGCATTTTATTTTATTTTTTAATTAATTAATTATAATTGTTTTAAATAAGAGTATTTTAAAATGTATCATATTGTAAAATTGCCTTCTCAGATTTTACTAATCTGTATATATATGTCCATTTTGCTGCATTCTGGCTAACAGTGGGTATAAACATTCTTACTGTCTTTGCCAATTTCACAGATAAAATATTATATCAATTTTGTTTTAGCTTTTATTTTTTAATTACTGAGTGAGGCTGAATTTTTTTGTTTATCAGCCATTTTTATTTTTGCTAGTTGCCTATTCACGCATTTTACCATATTTCTATTGGTGTTTGCCAGAATTAATGATTAATTGCCAGAATTCTTTACCTATTACAAATACAAATCTTCAAATATATTGCAAGTATGTTTTTACCTAACTTATGTTTGCTTTTAATTTTGTTTATAATATTTTTATGAAAAATAGTGGTTAAAAATTTTTTAAGGAGTTAAATCTATCAGTCTGGTAGGAGTAATACAGTAATTTTTGTTTTGAAACTTCTATGTACTGTCAATACAATTTAAATTGGTGTGAAAATACTTAAGCTTGGAGGGTTAAATAACTTACAGAAATATACATAGCTAGGAGGGCAGTATAGCTGAGATTGAGAATGTTAATTTTTTTAAAATATGTTTTTATTGATTCTTTAGAGAGAGAAGGGAGAGAGAGATAGAAACATCGATGTGAGAGAGCTACATAATTGGCTGCCTCCTGCACGCCCCCTACTGGGGATCGAGCTCACAACCTGGGCGTGTGCCCTGACCAAGAATGGAACTGGGACCTCTCAGTTCATGGGACCACACTGAGTCACACCGGCTAGGCAAACATGGTAATCTTTTTGTTTTTAATCCTCGTCAGAGGACATTTTTGCATTTATCTTCAGATAGAGCGGGAGGGAGAGAGGGAGGAAGAGAGAGGGAGAAACATTGGCATGAAAGAGACACATAGACTGTCTGCCACCACTCCACCCCAGTTCCAGGGACAAACTACAACTGAGGTACGTGCCCTTATTGGGAACCGAACCCAGGTCTCTCTGGTCTGTAGGCCAACACTCTAACCGCTGAGCCAAATTGGCCAGGGCACGTGATAATCTTAATAAAGATGTTTGCTGATCTAATTTATGTACTATATGATACATTTTTATATTTCAGATTTTATTTATTTCTTCTCAGCGGTGATTGCTGCTGAACCATTGCATTTTTATAGATAATTCCTTTGTTGCTGAAAGATAAATATTAAAGTAACTTTCCTCTAGATACCTAAATAATTAATACAGTATCACCAACCCAAATGAACTTTTTAAAATGTTTTTTTTTTCTTTATTGATATTAGAGAGAGAGAGGAAGGGAGAGGGATAGAGAGATAGAAACATCGATGAGAGAGAACATCTATTGGCCGCCTCCTGCATGCTTCCTACTGGGGATCAAGCCCACAATCTGGGCATGTGCCCTGACTGGGAATCAAACCAGCGACCTCTTGTCGCATGGTGTGACACTCAGCCATGGAGCCACACCAGCTGGGCTCAACTGAACTTTTTAAAAACATTTTTTATTTTTCAGTTACAGTTGACATGTAATATATGAGTTTCAGGTATATAGTGTAGTGGCTAGACATTTATATAACTTACAGAGTAATCACCCTATAAGTCTAGTTCCAACCTGACAGCATACATAGTTATTACAATATTATTGACTATATTCCTTAAGCTGTATTTTACATTCCAGTGACTGTGGTTGAAGGTCAGCAAATCTCCAGAAACTGAGATGACTGAAGGTTGGAGTCAGTATCTCCTGAAGTTAATTCCTAGGATTCTTATACAAACATGCTGTTTATCTACAAGCTACACATTAGCCAGAATCAGCATTTACAAAGACAATGTCAATGAATGATGGGTTGGGTTACAGTTCCCCATTGTTACAATAGGAGTGAGCAGGAAGCATGTTCTTGAAAGCAGCTTACCTTTGCAGACTATTCTGTCTCTTAATGCAATTTAGATGCCCATCCAAGAAAAAGAAGCTTCAAAGAAAGAAGTCATTCTTCTGGCAAAGATGAAACATCCGAACATTGTAACCTTCTTCAGTTCATTTCAAGGTTTGACTTTCTAGCGTTCTTTAAGTATTTTAATAAAGTATCAGCAGGTAGACTTCTGTAAAAGATATGTTCCTGAGAATTGTGATAAGGTTTTGTTAATGGACTCATTTTTCCATTTATTTAAATTGTCATTTCTTTTCTAGTGAATTTTTATAGACAGCTTTCCTAAGTTTTTCCACCTCCTTAATTCTTACTCCCTCAGACAGTTAATAATTGTTGTATTAGCTTTGCTGCAGTAACAGCACCCAAATTTCTGTGGCCTACAATTGTACGCATCTATTTCTCACTCCTTCCATACTGGCTGTGGGTGGACTGGGTTCTTAAGTCTGGGATCCAGGCTGAAGGAACACCCCAGATATGGAGCATACTGTTATGAACAAAAGAAAAGGGCAAGACACAAGCGTCCACCACACTATCGGTCTCAGAGCCCTGCTAGGATGTGACAGGGCTCTTGTTTTCCTTATGGGCTCACATTCCTGTTGCAAAGCAGCATGTAGCTAACCTTGATAATGGAACAGTGCAGGGAGAGTATAGTTTGCCCACATGAGGCCCTGAATGCCCTGTGGCAATGGGTGTCTTCTTACAGAGAAGCAGCAGTCATGTACCATAGCCAAGCAAATGGCTAAAACAGAGGGGAAAACTGTAAGGAGGCAATCCCTCCACTTGCATACTTGAATACAAGATCTATTCTATCTCCATTCATCATGCAATTGCAAAGGTAGGAACAAAACAAGCAATCAAATAAACATGAAAAGAACAGTGGTCAGAAATCATTCATTCACTTAACAAATTATATGCCAGGCATTGTTCTAGGTGCCAAGAACAGAGCAGTGAACAAAGCAGGTGAACATGGACCCTGAAGTCTAGCGGGGAGGGACAATAAACACATACAGTATGTCAGGTGTTTATATGCTGTGAGAGGGCTGTGCATGCCCAAGTTCCCCATGGGCATTCAGTGCTCAGATTCACAGATCATAAGGAATGGAGGAGCAATGTTACCTAGATATCTTTAAGCACCATCAGGGGCTAAAAAATCAGTAAATAAATATAGACACTATATTTTGAGCTTTTACACTGTGCAGGGCACTGTGTTTCTTATAAATGAAAACCACAGCATTCAAAGTAGTTCTCTGTGTGCAGCCCTTTTCATCTACCCAGTATAACTCTTAGCCCTGGCCGGTTTGGCTTAATGGTTAGAGCATCGGCCCAACGACCAAAGGGTCAAAGATTCAATCCCCAGTCAAGGGCAAATACCTGGGTTGCAGGTTCGATCCCTGGCCCCGGTTCAGGGTCATGTGGAGGCAACCAGTTGATGTGTCTCTCTCACATTGATCTTTCTCTCTCTCCCTCCCCCTCCTTCCTTTCCACTCTATCTAAAAATTAATGGAAAAATATCCTCAGGTGAGGATTAATGAAATAATAATAATAAAATAAAAGAACTCATAGAACTTTTCTGAGGTCTTCCTGGGAGCTGAGCAGTACACATGAACAGAGGATTCAGTTGTATCAAAAACTTTGAAGGGGCAGCGACCAAGTAAAGTGCCTACATTCCTGTTCATTGATTCCTAATAACAACACCATAAGACAATCTTTATTTTCCTCATTCTTTGGGTTATTATTGTGACTCCCTCCATCTGGTTACCTCCTACTCATCCTCAGGCCTTCTCTGAGATCACAATTCAAATTATAACCCCCTTTAATTTGCCTAGCACTTTGTACTTGTATGCATATGTCTATTTATATAAGCAATAATGAATTGGTTTGATATTTGTCTCCCTTTTAGAGTAAAGTTAATGGATTCTTTTGCTCACCTTTTGAGCCTTAGCATCTAGCACGTAGTAGGTGCTCAACATATGTTTGCTGAATGAGTGCATGAACTGGACCACTTTAGTAGATTAGAGTATGTCTTTATACCATGTAAAATGGATATTTGAGGACATTATTTTCCTGGATACTGTTATAAAATTAGAGGTCATTTTTTTTCAGTATAGAGAACCTCTGCTGAGTTTGTTTATATTATAAGTTTAGATTTTCATATGATAGTTTTTTGTTGTCATTGTTGTTAATTAGAGCACCCCTGTGTTTAGAAAAAACTAGAGCGCTTGTGATGTTTTTGAATTTTCCTGGAAGATTGTAGGGACTTGAAACCCCAAGCTTATCTGAAAACCGCAGAAGTTCTTATAGCACCTAACCTCAGACAACTGATTTCTGGATAGAATTCAGCTCTAGTTCATGAAATATTTGTCTATAGAGAGTATGAAAGTTTTACAGGTTTGAAGCAACATGTGAAAAATAAGGAGAATGTGGTGAGATGTTTCTAAGGCTAAATTAATTCCACTTAAATTCCTTCAGTAAATATTTATCAAGTACCTATTCCTATGCCAGGCATGTTCTAGGTCTTGAGAATATAACTCAGTGAACAAAATAGGCAAATATTTCTACACTATTGTTTGCTGCTGCTGCATAACAACAATCACAAATTTAGTGGCCTGAGCCAACACCCACTTAGCATCATCCAGTTTCTCTAGGTCAGAAGTCTGAGCTTGGCTTAGGTGGAATCTCTGCTCAGGGTCTCACATGGTTGAAATCCAGATGTCCATTGGGACTGCCATCTCATCTGAGGCCCTCAGTTCTCTTCCACGCTTATTCAAGTGGTTGGTAGGCTTCATTTATTTGCAATTGTGGGACTGAGGTGTCTACATTTTTGCTGGCTGTTAGCTGGGGTTCTCTGCTTCTTGAGGCCAAGTTCTCTTTCCTGCCAGGTGCCCTCTCTTGCTTGGAATGACCTCTGCACCCAGATTTAAGTGGCCCCTGTGATTAAGTCAGGCCCACCTGGATAATGTCATTTTTTTTAACTCAAAATCAGCTCATTAGTAACTTTTATTACATCAGCAAAATCCCCTTTGTTAACCTAACATAATCCTGGGAGTGATACCTCATTATATTTACGGGTTCTGTCCTTTCTCAAGGGGAAGAAGTTATGCAAGGTGTGTGCACTGGGGCAATCTTAGAACCTTCTTGCTACAACCACAGTTTATGTTTTAGGGGAAAGGGTGGGGAAAGCAGACAATAAGTGTAAAGATAATGAATACAATTTAGCCCTGGCCAGTTTTGCTCAGTGGTTAGAGCATCGGCCTGAGGACCAGAGAGACCCGGATTCGGTTCCCGCTAAGGGCACATACCTCGGTTGCAGTTTGTCCCTGGTCCTGGTTGGGGTCGCGTGGGTGGCAACCACTCAATGTGTCTCTCTCACATCGATGTTTCTCTCTCTCTCTCTCTCTCTCTCTCTCTCTCTCTGTCTCTTTCTCCCTCTCTCCCTCAGGATAAATGCAAAAAAGAAAATGTCCTCGGGTGAGGATAAAAAATAAAAAATAAATAAATAAATAAATAAATACAATTTAGATAGTATGTTAGAAGGTGATAAGTGGTGTGGAAAAACAAAATAGGGTGAGTAAAGAGTGGAGGGAACAGTTTTAAATAGGATGGTCAGGATAGGCCTTATTTGGAAGGTGACATTTGAGCAAAGACTTGAACAGTCATGCTAATAATGTCTAGAGAAGAGCTGTTTAGGCAAGAAGAACAGCCACTGCAAAGGCATGAGGCCAGAGCACATTATGAGTCCTCTGACTGAACACTGAACATTCATTTTTACATAGGCTGCCCTTACTTATACTTTTCTATTTCTCTTCTTTAGGAGTCCAGTAAGAATTTACAGATACTCTGAGTGCACAATCCTTTATAAAGCTTTCCTGGTTATTTTCCACTTGTCCCATCCAACATTTAAGTCAATGACTTTTTTAAGCTATTCACTTTTACAGAGTCCTCCAAAGCATTCAATATAGTTTTTGTAGAAATGACCACATCTTTTGTTTCTTATTCATATTTCATTAGTTATGAATAATTATAGTACAAGTATAATTGGTATACACAGATTTTGGAAAAAGCACAATGATCTTGGTAAGAATCAGTGGGAGCAGAGGTACTACAGTCTAATAGTCACCAGCAGTAACCTTGAATGGGCAAACAGACTGGATGGAGTGTGCCCATTAATCTAGTGAGTAGGTCAGGCAGAGGTCAGTTACGTACAATTATTTATTGTACTTAATAATATGGTTGAATAACTGTCATATAAATAAAAGTTTATACACAAATTCAAAAAGGGTCTATTTTTTCTTCCTAGGATGTTGGGAAAGACTCAAAGATGCTATTTTACAGCAGATTTCTAATCTCTTGCAAGAATGTATTAATAATAATAGCTAACATTCATTAACTGTCATTATGTGCAAGCACTGTTCTAAGCATCTGACATGGATTAACTCAATTAATTATTACAACAATCTTAAGAGGAGATTATGTCCATATTATTATTATATCCATTTTACATCTGTAATGAGAAACAGAGAAATTAAAATAACTTGCTGAGAGTCGCAGAGCTAAGAAATGTAAGTGGTGAAGTGAGATTAGAATTCGGTCCACCTTGATTCTGACCGTATATATACACACACAAATATATGTGGATATGTATGTGTGTATAACTTTTTTTTGTTGTTATATTCTCTATCCTCTGGAACTTGAAAGGCAAATGAGTAGTAAATATCTGAAATGCTTCCAGAACCAAATGATGCTTTTCTTACAGAGGACACCAGGCTGTTTATTGTGATGGAGTATTGTGATGGAGGGGATCTCATGAAAAGAATCAATAGACAACGGGGAGTGTTATTTAGTGAAGATCAGGTAAAAACACTTCTAATTTGCCTTTTAATTTATATGGGGAACATTAAATTTTAATGCCATAAGTAGTAGACTGTTTAGATGAAACATGACTTCTGGTAAAGAATACAAACCACACTAACCAGTCAAGATGGCAGTCTAGGTAAATGTGGTATCATCTGCTCCCACAACCACATCAAAATTACAACTAAGCTACAGCACAACCATCATTCAGAACCAACAAACATCGAGCTGAATGGAAGTCCTACAACTACGAAATTAAAAAAGAAGCCACATCAAGACTGGTAGGAGGGGCAGAGGAACGTACAGGCTGGTCCCACACCCACGAGTGGTGGATAAAAATCAGAAGGGACACCTCGGCCAGTGGTCAGTGGGCACAGCCAGTCCTTACAGCTGATTAGTCTGAGTAAATCCCTCCCATTGACATGCCAACAGCAATCAAGACTCAATTACAACAGAAGGGTGTACAGTCCACACTAGGGGTGCACCTCAAGGCCCAGCTAGTGTGATCAGGGAGGCTGTGCCACTGGATCCTACAGGACACCTACAATAATAGGCCACCCTACAAAGCCCAGGAGACATCACAACTCTACCTACTACATAGAAACAAATACAGGGAAGCAGCCAAAATGAGGAAACAAAGAAATGTCTCAAATGAAAGAAAAGAACAAAACTCCAGGAACAGAACTAAACAAAATGGAGATAAGCAATCAATCAGATGCAGAGTTCAAAACCCTGGTTAAAGGATTGCTCAAGAAATTTAGCGAGACATTCAGGGAACTTAGTGAGACCTTCAAGGAACTTAAAGAGACCTCCAAGGAATGTAGTGAAATCATCAACAACATAAAAAAAGCCCAGTCAGAAATGAAGGATGCAACAACTGAAATAAAGAATAATTTATAAGGAATCAATAGTAGAGTAGGTAAAGCCAAGAAGCAAACCATCGATTTGGAATATAAGGAAGCAAAAAACACCCAATCAGAACAGCAAAAAGAAAAAAAAATCCAGAAAAATGAAGATAGTGTAAGGAGCCTCTGGGACAACTTCAAACATGCCAACATTCACATCATATGGGTGCCAGAAGGAGAAGAGAGAGAGCAAGAAATTGAAAACCTATTTCAAATAATAATGACAGAAAACTTCCCTAATTTGGTGAAGGAAACAGACATACAAGTCCAGGAAGCAAAGAGAGACCCAAACAAGATGAACCCAAAGAGGTCCACACTAAGACACATCATCATCAAAATGCCGAAGGTTAAAGACAAAGAGAGGATTTTTTTTTTTTTTTTCTACATGCCCCTAGCAGGAACCAAACCCGAGATTCTCTGGTCTGCAGGCAGATGCTCTAACTGCTGAGCCAAACCAGCCAAGGCCAAAGAGAGAATCTTAAAAGTATCAAGAGAAAAGCAGTTCGTTACCTATAAAGGAGCTCCCATAACACTGTCAGCTGATTTCTCAAAAGAAACTTTGTAGGCCAGAAGGGAGTGGCAAGAAATATTCAAAGTGATGAAAAGCAACAACCTACAATCAAAATTACTCTATCCTGCAAAGCTATCATTTAGAATCGATGGACATATCAAGAGGTTCCCAACAAGAAAAAACTAAAGGAGTTCATCACCAGCAAACCAGGATTATATGAAATGTTGAAGAGTCTTCTTGAAGGAGAAGAACAAAAATATGAACTATAAAATGGCAATTAATACATATCTATCAACAATTGAATCTACACACAAAATAAGCAGGCAGAACAGAAACAGACTCATAGAGAACTTTTTGTTTCTTGCCAGATGGGTGGGGGCTGGAGCAATGGGTGACAAAGATGAAGGAATTAAGAGGTAAAAATTTCTTGTTAGACTGATGAACCTCAAAGGGAAGGGGGGAGGGCGAGGAGAGGGGGAATGAGATAAACCAAAGAATTTCTATGCATATATGCATAACCAATGGACATGGACAATAGTGTAGGGAAGTCAGGAGGGGGGTGGGATTGGGAAGGAGGATGTCAATGGGGAAAAAAGGGGGACATCTATAACACATTCAACAATAAAGATGAGTTAAAAAAAATACAAACCACAAGATAATGATCAGTATTTAGTCCAGAACATCTTTACAATTGAACTTAAATTTAATCTCTTTTTGAGAATGAAATTTGCTTGAGAAAAGATAGTGTCTTATTTTTGGACAATCTCAAGTAGGATGCCCCTGAGATAAATGTTCACAGCTGAAAAACATCTGAATGTGGATGTTTCTCAGCCATTTTTAATGTGACATATTTATAGGTTCACCCTTCTTCCTTTTACCTTTTGGTGCTCTGTGTTAAAATAGCCATTCCAGCCCTGGGTGGTGTTCAGTGGTTAGAGCATCGGCCTGCAAATGGAAGAGTAATGGGTTTGATTCGCAGTCAAGGGCACATACCTCAGTTGTGTCTCTCTCACATCGATGTAAACATAAAATAAAATAGCTATCCCACTCTGCTAGGGAGGACAGAAGCTCTTCTTAACAAGGGCTGTTTAGTTTCATTGCTTATTAAGAGACAGGAGCAAAAATGTGATGAATAATGGCCTGAGTTTCTATTTTCTCTTTCCACAAACACATTTTCCTTCTATACCCTGAGCTTCCTTTGGAAACCTCTTGGGAGTTGAACTCCTGCTGGAGATGGTTGTGTGTGTATGGAAAGGAATCCGAATCAGGCCTGGGTGGTTGATGGGAAAGGTCACTGCCTCAGGCAGTGCCCAGTAATGGCCCGGCAGCTTTCTTTCTTTTTTAATTTAATTTTTAGAGAGAGAGAGAGAGAGAGAGAGAGAGAGAGAGAGAGAGAGAGAGAGAGGAACATCGAAGTGTGAAAACAAAATATCATTCAGCTGTCTCTGCATGCCCCCCACTGGAGTTCAAGCCCACAACCTGGGCATGTGCCCTGACCAGGAATTGAACTGGAACCTTTCAGTCCATGGGACAATGCTCAATCCACTGAGCCACACCAGCCAGGCATTTTCCCACATTTAATAAAAAAATACTTTTCCTAACAAAAGTTTGAACTATATTTCTCCTTGCTGGGTGAAAACTAAAATTACAACTGAATTGTAGTATCTGGAATGTAGCTATCTTTCTATTGTTCTTTTCCTGTATAATTTGGTAAACAATGAACGAATGAAATTTTAGAATAGTTTAAATAAATCTCTATAGGTATAGGACACATTTTACTAAAGAGGCTCAGGACCAGCTAAAGTAAATAAAATCATGACTAAGAAAATGAATCTTTAAAAAGCTTAAAAGTGCCCGGCTGGTGTGGCTCAGTGGTTGAGTGTGGACCCATGCACCAAGAGGTCGCCAGTTCAATTCCTGGTCAGGGCACATGCCCAGGTTGTGGGCCAAATCCTCAGCGGGGGGCATGTAGGAGGCAGCCCATCGATATTCTCTCTCATCGATGTTCCTATCTCTCTCTACCTCTCCATTACTCTCTATAAAATCAATCAATAAAAAGTTTAAAAGTAACATTTTTTTGTTTTTATATTATGTACCAACCTGTATTTTGTTATTTCATTAAAAATTTTAGTAATCTCACATATTATTCATTCGTTCCTCTTTCTCTCTATGCTCTTGGCATCCTCCTTCCACTGAAAAGGAAAACACAGTGACGCCATGGTTATCAAGAAACAGGGCCGTGTGTCCACTACCCTGATGCGGTTAGCAGCCTAGTGTTAAGAAAAAAGACAATTATGAACTGCCTCCCTCTCTCTTTTGCTTTTCTTTGTCTTTTGTGTATGTGGAGTTCACTTTAATTGATTGCTTTTTGCACCTCCATTTTTCTAGGTAATATATTTATTAGCTTAATTCATATAAATACACATACACAAATATGCTGGTTCCCTTTTTTTGCATATTATCATGAAGATACTTCAGTGACCACTGGACTGTTTACAAGTCTTGTTTATATTTCCTTTACAGATTCTGAGTTGGTTTGTGCAGATTTCTCTAGGACTAAAACATATTCACGACAGGAAGATCTTACACAGGGACATAAAAACACAGGTAACAGTACAGACAGAGAACAAAGACAGAACTGATCTTTTGTTTTCTTGAAATCTCTCAAACAACATAACATTTTCTCTATTTACAGAACATTTTTCTTAGCGAGAATGGAGTGGTTGCCAAGCTTGGGGACTTTGGTATAGCAAGAGTCCTGAACAAGTAAGTAGTTTTTATTTTTTTATTAAAAAATATTTTTTCTTTATTAATTTTTAGAGAGATAGGAAGGGTGAGGGAGAGAGAGATAGAAACATCAGTGAGAGAGAACATTGATTGGCTGCCTCCTGCATGTTCCCCACTGGGGATCTGGCCCACAACCTGGGCATGTGCCCTGACTGGGAATCAAACCAGTGACTTTTTGGTACATGGGTCCACGCTCAACCACTAAGCCACACCAGCCGGGCACAAGTAAGTACTTTTTTAAATCATTTTTTTTCTATTTGTAGCAGCCAAATATATATATATATATATATATATTAAATATAATAAGTTAAGAAAGTATCAAAGGCTTGGTTTCCAAATAATTTTAGATAACTATTTATATAAATCCATTAAATCATTCAGATGAAAAACATCATGCAGATGGTGTTTTGTCTGAGGTTAAAATTTGGAGATAAATCTTGGCATAATATAATGATGGTGGCAATGTCATATAGTGTGATATAAGCTTATCAGATGATATAATTTTAATATGCATAAAGCTAATGAGAATTTAGTGAAACGGACAAATTCACAAACGCTGGGGAGAATATGTTGGTGTAACTGTTTTGGAAGACAATTTGGTGGTAATATCAACAGATTTTTAAGTGTTCTATTTTGGGGAATTTGTTCTAAGGGGATAATGTGAAATTTGGAGTAATTTAAATGCCTAATAATTGGGAAATGGTTAAGTGTAATAGAACTTGGCATAGCCAGTACCTGAATATTATATAGCCACTAACATTCATGATTTTGAAGACTTCTTGATGTGAGAAAATATTTGTTATATCAGGTTAAAAAAAAATGCAATTCTGAATTGTAAATATACTGTGATCATAGTATTGTGAAAAATATGCATGGGAAAAGACAGGAAGGAGATATATGTCATAATTTTAACAATAATGTAATTGTTTTTGGGTGGTAAGATTATGAATAATTTTTTTCTTCTTTTTTTTTTTTTTTATCCTCACCCGAGGACATGTTTTTTCCATTTTTTTTGCACAGATAGAGTGGGAGGGAGAGAGAGGAAGAGAGAGAGAGAGAGAAACATTGACGTGAAAGGGACACATCGAGTGGCTGCCACCCGCACGACCAACCAGGGCCGGGGACAAACTGCAACCGAGGTACATGCCCTTAGCGGGAACCGAACCCGGGTCTCTCTGGACCGCAGGCCGATGCTCTAACCACTGAGCCAAACCAGCCAGGGCAATTTTTTTCTTCTTTATTCACCTTTGTATTTTCCAAATTTAAATCAAGAGATTGTATTACTTTGATAATTGGAAAGGGGGGAACCATCTGACATCTGGGTAATATAACAATTGTAAATCTTTGTGGAGGCTTTAAACCATGTCACTTTTTTATGTGTATATTTTTGAGAGGTGAATTATAAGTTTAAAAGTCAACTATTTGTATTATCAAGGTACAATATTTTTCTTTATTTTAGTATGTGCATACATCAAAAATTTTTTAAAAATTTTATTTATTGATTTTAGAGAGAGAAACATCAATCAGAGAGAGAGAACATCGATTGGCCGCCTCCAGCATGCCCCACACTAGAGATTTGGCCCACAACATGAGCATGTGCCCTGACCAGGAATTGAACCGGTGACCTCTTAGTGCGTGGGTCGATGCTCAACCACTGAGCCACACCAGTCGAGCTGCATCAAATTTTATTATTCACTTTTTATACTTTTTCTTGCATGTTTATATCTTAAGCCTTTTCTTGCTTCAATAATAAACCATGTTATTTTACTATTAATATAATTTACTAGTTCCATGGAACTTGCTCAAACTTGTGTTGGAACTCCTTACTACCTGTCTCCAGAGATCTGTCAGAATAAACCCTACAACAATAAAACGTGAGTGGCTGACTATTGGTTTGAAAGTCTCAGTAAAATCTAATGGATTCTCTCTTATGGTACTTTTGTAATTTTATTTTCTTTATGTGTGGAATGAGTATCCCAGTGACTGCCTCTGGCCACTTCAGTGTTCCCAGAAGCTTTTGAACTTATTTAGAAATAATCAAATTCCCTTTATTTAAAGATGCAAGTGAGAGAAAGGATACTGTTGAAAATTGTGGCCATTGTGCCCTGGCCGGTTTGGCTCAGCAGTTAGAGTGTCAGCCCGCGGTCCAGAGAGTCCCAGGTTCGGTTCCACTAAGGGCACGTACCTTGGTTGCAATTTGTGCCCGGCTCTGGTTGGGATCATGAGGGTGGCAACCAGTCGATGTGTCTCTCACATCAATGTTTCTCTCTCTCTCTCTTTCTCCCTCTCTCCCTCCTGCTCTGTCTGAAGGTAAATGCAAAAATGTCCTCCGGTGAGGATAAAAAAAAAAAAGAATATTGAGGTCATTGTGACGTCCATCTTTATACAAGATTTTCATGTTGTGGGGGAGAAACAAACTTTCCTCTGCTCTCAAAATTCTTCTAGTTGGTTTAATAATCAAATAGACAGATTAGTAAGAGAAAATAACAAGGCCCTGATGGGGCAGCTCACTTGTTTAGAGCATCGCCCCAAACAGCCAAGGTTTCAAATTGGATCCCTAGGCAGGCATACAAGAATCAACCAATGAATGCATAAATAAGTGAATCAACCAACGAATGCATAAACAACAAATCAATGTTTCTCTGTCTCTCTTCCCCTCTGTCTAAAAATCAATCAATAAAAAAAAAGAAACAAATTTAATACATCCATATGTATGGGTACTCCACATCCACGAGACAGTCAGAGACCCCACATGCAGGAGAGAGTCAGAGGCAGGGCGAACATGGGCACAGAAGACACTGAGCCAGGGAGGAAGTAAGGCGCCTGGGGGCTGCAAAGGGTCATTGCAGGACAGAAGAAGAGCAGATGTTTAGTGAATAAAAGTTTGTCTTGTCCTATACATAGGTCAAAAGAAGTTATCTCTGATAATAGTTTATTATAGGCTAGGCTCCTAATTTAAGTTCTAGGTAGTTAAGGGAGGGGCAGGAGTTTCTCTTGAGCCTGTGTCTGAAGTTGCCTTTAGCTCAAAGTAATCTGCATACCGCCAAATCCACTTAGGGCTGCTTGTTCTGACCTCTTCCCCAGCTCAATACCTTCTAAGTGTGGTAGGCAGTTAGACAGGGGCAGAGCAAGGATGATGGGCTAGGTGCAGAAGGTAAAAGGACAGCTAGCAAAGGACAATTGTAGGGTGGGACTGCATTCCCAGAGTGACTTTTCCTTAGCTACCATGTCGCTGGTCATGTGGTTTGGACCCCTGGCCTTTCCTCCCTAGGGATAACATCTAGGTCTCAGTTGTATTTCAGCTCCAGGCTCAGAAAAGCAGCAAAACCAGACAAGCAACACCACAGTTGACCTCAGGACCAGTTGCACTGACTAATGACACCCTACCCTGGCACTAACCAGATCAGTCAGTCAGTGGAGACCCCAACCCTGAAAGGACACACCTGGAAAGCTGCTGAATATTCTATTGAGATCTTCCCCTGGTACCTCCCCTAAAATCTTGACCCTTAAAATCCTTAGGAAAACCTGGCTAGAGTGGCTCAGCTGGTTGAGTGTTGCACCAAAGGGTTGCTGGTTTGATTCCTATTCAGGGCACATACTTGGGGTGAGGGTTCAATCCCCAGTAGATTGATTTTTTTCTCTCTCTCACATCAAGGTTTTTCCCTTTCCCTAAGCACATCCCCATATCCTCCCCTGAGGATTAAAAAAAAAAAAAACCCTCAGGATGGAGGACCCAGTTGCCTCTTCTGCCCCAGATCATGCCCGAGCCTGTCCCCTTTCCATCTCCCCAGACACCTCACCTTTTCCTTCCTCACTTCTAAGCTTCAAGGGTCTTCATTTGCCTCTATAACTTGTTTCCTAAGCCCATTTCTTTTACAAAATATTTCTTCTTCTTCTGTGATTTTTCTAAATAAATGTTCTCTTATAATTTGAGTCTTGACTTTGAATTCTTTCCTAGCCGGAACTGAAGTACTGAGGTTGCTGAACCCAGGTCTAGTCTGACCCCACAGGTGCTGTTCTTGCCACCACCAACATAAGCACTATTTACTTTACTGCAGGAAAGTGTTGTAGTTGGGCAAGGTGGAAGGCAATGTGGTCTGGGGACAGAGCACTAGATTAGGAGCTCAGAATCCTAGTCCTACGTAGGAGTTCAAAATGAGTTACCCCAAGATGTGCTTCTGTGGTACAGTATGTGGATTATTTTTGAGCTAAAGGCAGCCAAGACCCTTTGGGCTCAAGAGAAACATATGCTCCCCCTTAATTACCTAGAAAAATTTAAATTAGGGGTTAACCTATCTATAGGGCAGGGCCAACTTCTAATTACTCAAAATCAGTTCTTACTATCCTGCAGTGACTTTCCTTCCCTCTGAAGTCTCAGGGTACTGTACCTCCTCCTTAGCTCAGAATGCATACACACCTCATTTTCCTTTTCTGTCTCTGAACTTCTCATGTATGGAGGGTTCCCATATGTATTATATTTAATACATATTTATCAATATTAATCCCATTTAATATTAATTAAATTAGGCTATTTCTCTAGTTAATTTGCCTCATGTAGATTATTAGATCAGCTGAAAGAACCATGAATGGGTCCAGGTTGCCTGTCACTACTTGAGCCAATTAAGCAGAGACCAGGTTGGATCTTATATGAACCATTATTCTGATATTGCTGGCAGTACGGGAGAGCAGTGGGTCATCCAGTAAAATCTGCTCTGCACTCCCTCAGTAGTCAGTCGCTTATATTGGGTAGCAATGTAGGGAAGGGCAGGTAGGCAAAAAGAAATAACAGTGGGTAAAACAAAATAGTTACAGATTACAGGCATGAGGAATAACAGTGGATAAGTGGTTACAGATTACAGAAATTGGGAAGTAATAGGGCTGAGGAATGTGAGCTGGGGGCTAAGAAGGGTTGTCTGCCTCCAGGGCTCCAAGGTTGTTAGTCTTTCCATGGTGTTGAGCAGTTTTCCCCTGTTCTCAGATAAGGAGAGTGGACAGCATTTCTGAGGTAAACTCCCAGGGCGTACAATTGCCAGCCAGGTCAGAATGGGCTTTCTTTCATCAGAACAAAGCCATCACGATTAACAGAGCAAGGATGTTTAACATGTCTTATAACTATGGCTAGCACTCCACTATGATCAGTTCTCTATTATTCTCTCCTACCACTTTCACTTCCCCACACTTAGCTGTCACCAGCTTGACCATCGCAGTTAACCTCTGTGAGCCTCAGTTCTCCTACCTATAACAGCAAGAGTGTTGGCTAGGGGATCATTAAGGTGTCCTCCACCTTCAAAACCCAGATAGTTTTTATGTATGTGATACCAGAGCCTAGTTCTCAAGAGTAATATTAATATACATAGTGGAGATGAGGTAGATTTTACTTCCATGTAAAGGGGGGGTTCACTTTTCAAAACTTGGCTGCCGTTTGAACCAGTGGGACTAGCAGGAAGACTGAATTCCTTTTGGGAGTGTTGTGGCGTGAGAGACGCGAGAGACCACCAGAGCCAAATTAAAGCCAAATAGCAAAGCTGACCGGCCACTGATCCTGAGTTCTTAGAGACCAGCCCTGGGGCCTCCAAATGTTGTGGTGTGACAGAGTCAAAGAAAGACCACTAGAAACTGAAGTCCGAATAAGAGCCGTTTGTTAGCCAGCTGGCATCTGATCCCTGTGACAGAGTCTTCGGAATCAGCCCCGACATGCTTCATTACCTGCCTTTTATACCTTACAGAAAATAGGATCTTCTTGATGTAATGCCCAGGGCCACAGCAATGCTGTACAGAATCAGTTTGCCTTGCGGATAACAGGATCACCCAGGCACACCCAGGAACACCCAGGTACACTAGGTCACACTTAGCCCCGAGCTGCACAAACACAATGCAAGCCTGATTCCTTGAGATTGTGGGAAAGGTCGGGTCTCTGACTCAAGACCTCCAGGCTCCGTGGACTCTGTCAGACACTGTCAGGCACGTAGCTGGCTCCCAACAATTTATTGGTTCAGGGAGTATTCCAATTTACTGAGGTTATTTTAACTAAACAGGTTCAGCTAGAGGGCACACAGTGACTTTCCCAATCATCAGTTATGGAGCAGCACAGTAATTTACCAATCATCAATTATGGGGTTATAAACATGCTGGCACAGGAGTTAATTGTCCATTTGTTTAGGAAAATACCTAAGCTGTTTGACTTTGAACGATAAATGGAATGTAAAGCCCAGTTGGTAAAAATTTACAAAAAGAATAGTAAACATTTCTGTTTGTTTTGTTTGTTTGCTATAGCTCTCCCCTGGCACCAGAGGGGTTTGGTTCCAGATGTGCAGGAATGCAGCTGGTGTCGGGCTGTGCAGGCTGCCCAGGGCAGTTCCGTGCTGCTGTGGGCCAAGAGCCCTAGGTTAGCAGCACTGTTTCATCTCCTCGTCCTGTTTTTTAAGAATTTGTGTCAACGTTCAAATATGTTGATTTGTCCTTCTGATAATTAGGTTTCAGCAATAATCAACTGCCTCCTCTAGACCAGGAAACCATTCCCAGGTTCACCATGGTCCTTCCCACATATAGGCATGAGGTATGCAAAAGTCCCACCCAGCCCCAGGTGGCTTTATTCTCTGCAGACTGTCAATATAAGAAACATTTAAACCTGTAGAGAAATTTTATGAGTTTATTCGAGTCAAACTGATGACCATTGCTGGGAAGCATGATCTCAAGAGATTGAGAAAATGCTCCAGAGAATGGTAGTCTTGCATCTTATTTTATACATTTCAATCAAAAGAGAAGATGTAAGTGGGTTACATGAAATCCATTGGTGATAGATTAGGGAGGCAGGAGAAAGCAAAGGAGGGTGAGGGGGTGGGGACCTTGGGGATTGGTTGAAAAGTAAAATGATAGACATACACATCTTTTATATAAGTGGGTATAGAATAGTTAACCTTCAACAAGTAACACAATAACAATAACACTGAGGTCTTGGGAGGGGCCCAGGAAAAGGGAAGTTACCCTGACATCATAAAGGTATGTTATGGTTGATGCAAAAGACAGTCGACAGCTCAGTTAAAGTAAAGAATGACTTTTGTCTGGGAATGTTCTAGCCTAGAACATGACTACCCACCATAGACTGCTTTTAGTTGAAAATTTTTAATTTCACACCATCCTTTGTGGTTACTTTTGGTCTCTGAGTTTGTAAGACGCCATGCAGGCCTCCCCTGAGCTTGTCAGGTTTAGTATGTGGCCCCTTTTCATCCACAGGACCTTTTTAGGCACATGAATTTACCACACTGGCAGCTAAGAGCACTCTGTTGTTATGGGAAAGGGGACTGGCCCTGAGCGGTCTGCCTAGGGCCAGCCGGTAGTGTGTGGGTTCTCAACTTCCTGCAGTAAAAGCTTCACAAGTCCAGGTGAATTTGAGGGGCTGTTTATTAAAGCTGGGAACAGTGAAACAAGAAAAGGCTGGGGAAATTAGCCTAGGCTGGACTGCTAGGCTCACTAAGAAGTCAGAGAAAAGGGGCCTTGGGGACAGGTGTAGGGGGTTTGCCTGGGATGAACTTCCATTGTCCATTGTTGCCCTGGTTGCAAGTCTCCTGGGGTCCCTTAGAGTTTAGGAGAAGTGTGCCTTGGGGTGGGGGTTGGGGTGTTGTGGGGAGGCAGAGTGTGCTCCTGGGAGGGACCTTTGTTTTCAGGGGTTTTAAAGGCTGGGCGGTTAAGGAAGGTCTTAGGGAAGGATTTCAATAGAATATTTATCAGCTTTATGCTGATGTGCCAAAATGAGGTTTATTATCTCTCTCTTTTGTTAATCCTCACCTGAGGATATTTTTACCATTGATTTTTAGAGAGAGTGCAAGGTGGGAGGGGAGAGAGAGAGAGAAACATTGATGTGAGAGAGACACATTGATTGGTTGCTTCCTGCACATGCCTGGGACAGGGCTGGAAGTTGAACCTGCAACCCAGGTATGTGCACTTGACTGAAAATCAAACCTGTGACCCTTTGGTGTGTGGGCTGACGCTCTAACCACTGAGCAAACTGGCCACGGCCAGGTTTATTCTTTTCTCTTTTTCTTTTTAAAAATCTTTATTGTTGAAACTATTACAAATGTACCCCCTTTTATATTCTCTTAACTTCATCTGTCCTTGGTGTGGTTGGCAGATGGCACTAACTGGATTTCTGCTGCTGTCTCCCTGACTGGGGTGATTTAAACTATTTACCCTCTATTTGGGGAGAAGTACAAACCATTTCCTCTGAAGTGTCCCTGGTTTAGGGAAGATAGGATTTACTAGGTGGCTGCAAAGTGCTGTGTATCTGACTGTCTCAGCTTCCCTATTCCACTTGTCCTGGGCTTACACAAGACCAGGTAAAGACAACATTCTGTGTGGTGGTGGTGGAAAGTCGTCAGTGAGTGTCTAGAAAAAGTCTAGAAACTAGTTGTTTCCTACCTGTTTTGTGCTCAACCCTTTAGTACATATCTCTCTGCTCCTCCCACTCACACAGGAAGTGTTGAGAAAGAGTGGAGCCCTTTACCTCACTTCCCTGGGTCCTTCCTGTTTTGACTCTTTAATTGCCTTTGTAACCTGACAGGGGACCTGGCCCTGAGCAGGTCGGCCTAGGCCCAGCCGGTAGTGTGTGGGTTCTTGACTTTGTGGAGGAAAAATTTCACAACATGAGTCCAGGTGACTATAGGGGAACACTTATTAAAGCTGGGGACACCGAAAGGAGGAAGGGCCCAGCACAGAAGCCACAGGAGCGCCCAGGCGGGGCTGCCTGAGCTGTCTGGGAAGTCAGAGAAAAGAGGGTCCTGGGGACAGGTTCAGGGGATTAGCCTGGAATGAGCTGCCGCTGCCCTTTGTTCCCCTGGTGGGGACCCCAGAGTCTAGGAGATTGTGTACACGGGGAAGAAGAGAGGAAAGGGACCGGTCCAGGCTGCTTCCCAGAGGGAGAGCACAGTGCTGGGCTCTTTGCCTTGAGATTGTTCTCTCTCTCACAGGTGGGAGTCTCAGGGAAGGTCTCAGGGATGGTTTCAGCAGAATATTCATCAGTTTTCTAGCTGTGCTTTTTCAGGGTTAAGGTCAGTGCCAGGGCAGGGGGTCATCGGTCACTGCAGCGTGTCCTGGCGTCACCGGCCTGGTTTTGCTTGCTTTTCTGGGCCTAGAGCTGAGATACGACTGAGGCTGACATGTTATCTCCAGAGAGGTGACCTTCTGCGTCCCTGTCAGCTGCTCGGCCAGTTTGTTCAGCTGTCTGTCTCAGTTTCCCCATTCCACTTGTGCTGGCTCATGGGCCTGTCTCACTTTCTAACTTCCTCGAATTCTCATTACACGTTTTTCTGGTCTCTTAAATTTATGCTCTTTGTTCTATGAGGTGACTCCTTTTAAACCAACCACATATGAACACTAAGCACTAAAGAGCAAGTCTCTCATCATATGTTGTGAACACTTCCCAAGTTTACTGTTCATCACTTCATGTACCTTGCTTCGTCAGTAGCCCGAGTGGAGTATACCTTGCTAATTCAACCAAAATTTTGATTGAATCCAAACAAATTCGTATTTGAGTCCTGCCTCCCTCCACCAAATGCTCAAAATTTCGTACGCATTTTCCTTCAGCACATGATGTTGAGGTAAATATTGAGCTATCGGATGGTAGCAAGTTTGTGTACCTTTTCTCTGTCAGGATTCTGACAAACTATACATTGTTTGTATCATACCTCTTATGTTAGTAAGAAAAGAATTGATAATGTATCTGAAACATTTCAAAGAACTAGTCAGCCTGTATAAAAGTGTAAAGATACACAGGTAGAAAGCCCTGTAAGGGTATGCTTTTATTAAAAATTATGAATATGTTTTGGCATGTGAACTCTTATCTCCTCCAGGGATATTTGGTCTCTTGGCTGTGTTTTATATGAACTCTGCACACTCAAGCATCCTGTAAGTATGTGAATCATCAGATTAATATTATATTATATAAACTATATAAATTATATTAACTTCTGAGAGAAAAAAGTCAATATTTGATATGATTCAATTGTTAAAAACTGTGTGGGAAAGGAGGGATAAATAGTGATGGAAGAAAAATATTTTTTAAAAAATTATGTGGCCCTGGACTGTTTGGCTCAGCAGTTAGAGCATTGGCCCCCAGACCGGAGAGTCCCGGGTTTGGTTCCCGCTGAAGGCACGTACTTCAGTTGCAGTTTGTCCCTGGCCCCTGCTGGGGTTGTGGCCAGTCGATGTGTCTCTCTCACATCAATGTTTCTCTCTCTCTTAAAAAAAAAAAAAATTATGTGGACAAGCTATTCAGAAGAACAATAGATCTATATATGCGGACATGGAAAGCTGTCCAAGCTAATATTGTAAAGTAAAAATTCCAAGTTGGAGGATAGTATATGTAACATATTTGCCTTAAAAATAAACTGGGCTTATCCCCAGCCCCAGTTGGGGTCGTGTGGATTGCAACCACTCCATGTGTCTCTCTCACATCGATGTTTCTCTCTCTTCCTCCCGTTCTGTTTGAAGATAAATGCAAAAATATCCTCAGTTGAGGATTAAAAAAACAATAATAATAAAATAAACTGTGTTCTGCCCTGGCCAGTTTGGCTCAGCAGTTAGTGTATTGACCCCAGACCTAAGGGTCAAGGGTTTATTCCTGGTCAAGGGCATGTACCTGGGTTGCAGGTTTGATCCCCAACCCCAACTGAGGTGGTGCGGGAGGCAAGTAATTGATGTGTCTCTCTCACATTGATGTTTCTCTCTCTCTCCCTCACTCCCTTCCACTGTACCTAAGAAATCAATGGAAAAATGTCCTTGATGAGGATGAACAAAAAATAAAATTAACTGCCCTGTCCAGTGTGGCTCAGTGGTCCAAGTGGCCCACACACTGAAGGGTCAAGGATTCGATTCCTAGTCAAGGGTACATACCTACAACTCAGATTCGATCCCTGCTCTGGTTGGGGTGCATGCGGCAGGCAATCAATCAATGTGTCTTTCTCACATTGATGTTTTTCTCTTTCTCTCCCTACCACCCTCCACTCTGTCTAAAATTCACTGAAAAAAATATCCTTGGGTGAGGATTAACAAAAAATAAAAATAAACTCTGTAATCCCCGACTGGGGGGCTCAGTTGGTTGGAGCATTGTCCCGTACACCAAAAGGTTTCGGGTTTGATTCCCAGTCAGGGTACATACCTAGAATGTGGGTTCAATCCCTGGTCAAGGGCATGTACGGGAGGCAACTGCTCAGTGTTTCTCTCTCTTTCTCTCTCTCTCTCTCTCCCTTCCTCTTTCTAAATGTACCCTTAGGTGAGAATAAATAAATAAACTGTGTGAATATATATATAATCAGCAAAGGAAAAAGGTGCATGGAGTGAAGTCTGTAGGAAATTAGGCTCAAGCTTCCAAGTGCCTCTCCCAGGAGTCATACAGGATGCGCTCATTCCTCCAGCAGTAAGTTGTGACAGCACGTGTGAAATAGTGCATACCAGAGATGCTCCTCTGAGACCCAGTGCCCCGGTTTTTTTTGCAGATTGGTCATGTAGGCACCCTCTGCCTGGCAAGTGCCAGACTGCCAGACTCCTAGGAAGAAAGCAGGTGTTCATCATAAACATACTGTTTACATAAACAGTGTAGGCAAAGAGAGCCACTCTGAACATTTAGGGAATGGTGGGAACTCTCCTGAAATTTAAGTTTCCAGACATCAGCCAAAGGCCATAAATTTAATGATAGCTTTCACAGGCCTGCTGTGTTAACTCTTTTCTACATTTGACCAGAACTGAACCCATGAGTCTTTGTTCCGCGGGCCGACGCTCTAACCACTTAGCTAAACCTGCCAGGGCAACTGACACATTCTTAGCACATGGCTGTGAGTGTAAATAACTGATTATTCATAAAATGGAAGATTTTCTGGTTTATGAAGAATTTTTGTGGAAATATTTGTGTTATGTTAATTTAAAAAGCCAGATGTAAAATTTTATATTGTTATGCCATTCACTCTATAAAATAAACATTATATTTTTAAAAAGACTAGGAGGAAATATACCTATGGGTGGAATTATACGTATATTCCCTGTCAATTTATAATTTCCTATACCTTTCAGTTTTCTAGAATGCTTAAATATCATTTGATAATAAGAAAAATTAAAACCAAACTATATTGTTTTAAATAACATGGCATCGCATTGAATTACTGCCTAAATATCTACTCATGATATATTAGTTGATAAAAACAATTTAGGGTGGACCATGGTGCTGCTAACTGAATTTTAAAACTTTGTTTTGTTTCCTGATATGACTTTAAATAGTAGTATTGAATTGTTTTCTAATTGAGTCTTATTGTTGCATGTCCTTTCAGTTTGAGGGTAACAGTTTACACCAGCTGGCTCTGAAGATTTGTCAGGCACATGTTGCCCCAGTGTCTCCAAGGTTTTCCTCTGACCTGCAGTCCTTGATATCACAGCTCTTTAAAGTATCTCCCCAAGATCGGCCATCTATTAATTCAATTTTGAAAAGGCCCTTTTTAGAGAATCTTATTGCCAAATTCTTGACTCCTGAGGTGAGTTCTGAGGTGATTGTGTCTGGATTTTGACAGAGGTTTTGGTTAGTGGGCCCTTGACACCTGTGTTTGGTTTTAGGTCATTCAGGAAGAATTCAATCACACCCTAATACATAAAGCAAGATCATCAGCTTCTCAGTCTGCTGGGAAGATGGTCCAAGGTAAGAATGATTTAACTATGCAATCAAGAACATTTATTACATGTGTCTCACATAATGAGTTATACTAGATGGCTGACAATATTAGCAGGGAAATTTCACCGAATATGAATGTGGACATTAAAAAAAATATGAGCAATATATACAGGGGAAAAAATCGTCTTGTCCAGTGGTTGGTGTGCCTACATCTAGCTCATGTATGACCTGGAGGAGTCATCTCCTCTCTCTCTTCTCATTGGTCAGGAAAATGTCACGGAACAGTGGATATGCTAATGAAAGGATGTTTGAAGAGGCAGAATCCAAACTTAACATTTATGTAGGGAAGGTATAGAGAGTAAGAGAGGGTTCACAGACAGACATGAGATGATTAAATGAAAAAAAAAATTTTTTTTGAAATGGAGAGGATGGGCTTGCAATTACGAATTCTCTTGGAAAGTCCCATTGGAGCTGGAAGTTAAGATCTTGGAGAGAACCATAACTATGTGACCCCCAAAGATACTTTATGGTAATGATAAGTAGAAAACATTTTAGTGCCAGGAATCAGCTGATAATATGATGAAGTGCTGTGTGTGTGTGTGTGTGTGTGTGTGTGTGAGTGAAAGAGAGAGAGAGAGATTAAAGAAGGAATATGACTAATTCAATTGATGGTGTGAAAGTAAGGGGAGCAGGATTGAGCTATAACCAAATGTCTGAACTTAAAGGATGAGGAGGAGTAGAAAACCTCTCTAAGGAATCAGTGATAGGGAAATACTATCCGCTGTGGTAGAGGAACTAAAATTGAGGGAAGCTATAAAAGGAAAGTGAATGAATTACCCCTTTGACCCCGTTTAATTGGATTTGGTGCTATTATGTGTTGGTTTAGATTGAGAATTTTTAGAAAGTAGGTAAGTACAGGATGAGAGAAAGTGCCTTGTCCACATCTGCAATATAGGAAAGATGGGAAAACAAGAACATATTTTGATGGTGACAGAGAAAACATATTAGAAGACCTATTCATACATTTCAAACAACAATGTGACGTGGATGGTGTGGCCTGATAATCCAAGCTCTGATGATTGCGTTTAATTACTTGTGCCATTATCTTATGAATATTGTTTCTATAAATGTTGACATTAATTTTAATTTTTTTAAAAAGTAATATTATATATTACTAGGAATATGTAAAGGGACACTGGAACAGTGGTTTTCTCCATTCAAAGAAAATGCGTAATAATTTTTCATCAGTACTTCTCTCACTGGGAATAAATGTCTCTGGGTAAAGTAAACTTACTGTGCTATGAAATGCCCTGTATGTTTATACTCACACAAGCATCAATATTAAAGATGTGAAAAAGAATTAAAAATTGAAGTTGTTTTATTTTGGTTAAATAAGATTGTAAAATACAGAAAATGAGATTCCAGGGGAAGTTCCTACCAAGATCAAGAATATCAGTGCCAATTAGAAGGAAGGATATAATATACAGAAATGAATGGAGACCACCAGCTGGAGCCCAGAAGCCCATATCTGTAAGTTACACTAAATCCTTTTTTCTGCTTTTTTTTTTTAGCAGATGGTATATCCTATACATGTTTATGTGGTACAAGCTCATTAGTTTGGAATCCACTAGTTTTATACTTATAATAAAATCTTTCTGTAATGAGCATTAGAGTGGTACTTCATTGGACAACTTCTAGTTGTTAGACTTTTTAAAACAATGTGATATTTTCTTATCAGTATTCTATACATTAAAGTTTTCTTTTTATAACTAAAATTTTTTTAACTTATTTAAATAAAGTTTTCCATATAAAACAAGTGAGTAGCATAGCAGCAGAAACTATGCATTTCATACTCTTAAGTCTGACATGTTATATATCATTGAGAATCTTTTATTATATAATCATTGATTTTTTTCTTAGAGATTGTTTATGTGTAGTTATTTGAATACACTTTCGCAGAGTGTTGAATCTTTTAGTTCATGCTAATGAAATGCTGCAGGTATATAAAAAGTAAAATGGCTAGTCCTGCTGGGTAACTCAGTTGGTTGGAGCATCCTCCCAATGCCCCAAGGTTGTGGGTTCAGTCCTGGGTCAGGGCACATACAAGAGGGAATCAACCAATGAGTGCATGGATGAGTGGAACAACAAATCAATATTTCTCTCTCTCAAATAAAAATTTAAAAATAAAAAATAAAAATATTTAAATAATAAAATAGCTTTTGTCTTTTAATTGAAGAATTGTATGTTTAAAGAAGGCTCATGGAAAAAAAAAAAAGAAGACTCATGGTCTAATTAGAGGACCATTTTCAAGTACATTTACTAAGTGTTTACTTGACATACACACTTTTTAGAAAATGTGTTGGTGTATAAATAGATTTTTGAAACTACTAAATTATTGCTATCCATTTTGATAGAATGTAGCTTAACTTTATTAAAGGAATTTTAAAACCTTGTTGTGATTTAGAATACTCTGTAGCAGACCTGTAAGAGAGAAAAAAAACCCACTGGGGATTTGGCCCACAACCTGGGCATGTGCCCTGACCAGGAATCGAACCAGTGACCTCTTGGTACATGGGTTGATGCCCAACCAGTGAGCCACACCAGCTGGGCTGTACCACAGCTTTTTTATCCACTCATCTACTGATGGACACTTGGGCTGCTTCCAGATCTTGGGTATTGTATTAGGTAGATTTTCCATGACTCCCAGTCTTAGTGGGCTGGCCTTATCTAATAGGTGTCCTGTGGGACCCAGTGGTGCATTCTCCTTGATTACTTGTACTGGGTGCTCCAGGACTATCTCTTGTGTGGGTTATTTGGACCCTCCTATTGTAATTAAGTCTTGAATGCCAATAGCCATTCATGTGTGGGGTTGACCTTGAGGCTTGTTGACTGTTGATGATTATCCCCAACTGCAGTGTGTGTGCTGCTATGTAGGTTCTGGCCACATGGAGCAGCATTTGCTTCAGCAGGGTCTGGCACCTGTTGAGATCTCCCTTTGGATATGCCACTTGTGAAGCTAATTGGATCCTGGTCTGATGTTGTCTAAAGCTGGCCACTGGGTGTATTAGTTCTGAGGTCTTGTAGGAGAGTCTCTGGTGTAGGCCAATGTCAGACACTGCCTGTAACTGGTCCTGGGTCACTTGTTTGGAGTTACAAAGAGATCCACAGTTTTGGCTCACTCTGTTGGGCCTGGGTATGCATGGAAGGGATCGAGTTGTGCACCAAGGCTAGCTTTTACTACCTCTGGGCACAGGACAGGTCAGCAAAAGTCCCAAGGAACCTGAGATCTGCCTCCACTGGCTATATAATATCATTTTTAATTCTAGGTTTTGAAGATTCTTTAAAAACTTTTTTTCCCCTTATTGATTTTAGAGAGAGGAGAAGAAAGAGGGAGAGAGAACATCGATTGGCCAACTCCTGCATGCCCCCTACCTGGGACTTGGCCCACAACCTGGGCATGTGCCCCAACTGGGAACCGAACCGGCAACCTCCTGGGGCATGGAGGTTCTAAAAGTATTTTAATCTGAAAACAATTCTAGACCAAAAATGGCAAAAATATACCTTCAATGCCTTGTCTTAGCTATGGTCACTATCAGACTGTCAATTATTATAGATTTGTGTTTTTAAAAATTCTTGTCTCTTATTAATCCCTCAGATGCAAATGGTAGAAAGGCCCAAACATGCTGGAGTGTGTGGCCATTATGATTATTACTATGCTCAACTTGACTTGCTGAGGAAGAGATACCATGAGCCAAGTTACCACTGTGTTCCTCATAAAGATACTAGAGTTAAGGAGAATTTTAATCAGGAAGAAAGCCACAGTCAATCACCAGGTCAATGGTAATGTGACTGTCTAATTTAAACTTTGGTCCTCTGAAAACATGTTGATATATGAACATTCTTTACTCTGCAATCCTTCCAAATTCTCCTAAAATAAATAATCAGAGAACTTCTGAACTCTTCATTTCAAATACTTAATTCACAGTTCACTTGACCCTTTTTTACTTTTTTTTGTTTTTGTTAATCCTCACCTGAGGATATTTTTTTCCACTGATTTTTAGAGAGAGTAGAAAGGAGGGAGCTAGGGAGGGAGAGAGAGAGAGAGAGAGAGAGAGAGAGAGAGAGAGAAAGAGAGAGAGAGAAAGAGAGAGAGAGAAAGAAATATCAATGTGAGAGAGACATTGATCAGTTGCCTCCCACTCATGCCCCAACCAGGGCCAGAGATTAAACCTGCAACCCACGTGCATGCCCTGGACCGGGAATCAAACCTGTGACCCTTCAGTGCACAGGCCACCACTCTATCCACTGGGCAACACCAGCAGGGCAAACCTTTTTATTTATTTTTTAATTTTTATTAAATTTTTTTCAATTACAGTTGACATATAATATTATATTAATTTCAAGTGTACTACATAATGATTAGACATTTCTATAACTTATACACTAATAATTCCCTGACCCTTTTTCATCTCAAGTTTGATGTAGCTTATATTTTTATTCATAGAGCCATTTAACTATGGGCACAGATTCATACTCTTGATTTTTTAAATATGTTTTCTTCTTTGTAGTAAATGTCATTCCTGAGACTTATGAAGATAGTTGCATATGTATCATTTTCCAAAGAGCTTATTAATATTTATCATTAATAATTGAATGATAATGAAATAATCATTTGAAACATATTTGAAAGTGATATATATTTTATTCAGCATTTATATTCTTGAGATTTTTCAGAATATGGATGTATTAAAAATAATATAATGTAATTAAACTACTGTTATGGCAGACTTTCAAAAAGTTTACTCCATAACAAATTTCTGTGTATCTACAATATTTTCTGTTGTGTATTTCACACCATTGTCAGTGTTCCTGTGTTCAGAATGCTTGACATCCATCCACAATCCTGAAGAACTAGGTCTGAGTCATTTTTAAAAAAATGTTTTTGCCACCACATTTTTCCTTTCAAGGGCAAGGATTTGCTAACTTTTGGTGACTGTGGTTATTATTTACTGTTGAAATGAAAAATATGAGAGACTATGTGATGGTATGCCCATCAGATAGCTCATGAAAAGATTAGCCATGGGGAAGGGAGATGTTTTATTTACGTGCCATTGTAGTTTTATCCATCTTCTTAACACATTTTCAATGACCTCCATGATTATCAAAAGTTGTGTGTCCCACTAGTTCAAATTATAATATTCATATAGGACTCGACTAATAAGTATTTTACATAAATGCAGCCACAATATCTCTTGCCCTTTCTCAGCCACAGGGAAACGTCTTCCACCCTGTCTAGATATAAGAACTGTCAAACTATCAATTATTTTTATAATAGATGGTTTTGTCTCCCAAACTCCCACATAACATGGTAGAAAGGTCCTTCTATTTTCTGAATACTGCTGCCCATCATAGGCTCCATCCTACAGTATTCCAGAATGCCCCTCTGATGACTTTACTAGTAACCCCCTCCTCTTCATTGTTCTTCTAAGCTCTCACCGCCATTTTCTCTTTTTTTTTATCCTCACCTGAGGACATTTTTGAATTTATCTTCAGATAGAGCTGGAGGGAGAGAGGGAGAAAGAGAGAGAGACACACATCGACTGGTTGCCACCCACACAACCCCAACCAGGGCCCGGGACAAACTGCAACCGAGGTACATGCCCTTAGTGGGAACCGAACCCAGGACTCTCCGGTCCGCTGGCCGACGCTCTAACTGCTGAGCCAAATTGGCCAGGGCTCCAGTTTTCTCTTTATCTGAGCTCTGATTCCATGGGAATCAAGTGTTGATATACTTGTCTGGAGAAAGAGGAATCTGTATAGGGTTGGGGTCTGTGTGTATGTGTCAGAGACAGAGACAGAAACAGAGATAGAGAGAGAAGAGACAGAGAGAGAAATACAGACAATGTATTTTGGACAGCCCCTGGGAGACTGAATAGTTTTTCTCATGGAGATATTGTTATGCCCATCACTTAGATTTCTGAGAGACATGAAAGTGCAAGTTAACCTACTGTATGTGTTAGACACTGGCCAGGCACCTGAACAGACCTAATTTCCTCTCATCCTCATATCAACCCCTCTGAAATAGTATTGCATCATTTTATATGAGGAACTAAGGCCCAGAGACCTTAACAAGCCTGCCATTTTGTCATATTTCTAAAGGACTGACTTGTTACTTTGACTCTTCATAAGCTGGAGTCTACGCATCGTGATGTCCCTAAAGGAGTTATTTCTGAAACAATGGTTGTCTTTGGAGCCCTAGAATTTACTGGTATTCCAAAGAACTTCATCATATAGTTCTCACTATGATCTGAAATATGGCAGATTTTACTTAGTAATCAGTAATTACAGAAATTCTTAGCTGGAAATTCTGCAAAAAAGACAACAAATCTATAAAGAATATAGGTATAATGTTTTGACCAGAAGTGAGTTGGAAAATACCTTAAACATTGTGAGGAGACAGCTAAAGCCTCATTTTTCATTCATGCAGCATTTGTATGCCAGCATGAGGGGTAGAGGTGAACTGATGGGACTCTGTGCTGCTCTCAAGATGCTCAGAGGGTGGTGCAGGGAACAGATCAGCAGCCATCAGTCAAAATGAGGGACAAGGCTGTAGATTAGAGACCTGCACAGGACATAGGAAGATTCTGAGGTGGGTTGTTTTTTCTTTCCAACATGTTATGGACTGTGGAAGTCTTCCTGGATCAGAATATTTTTCTGTTTTAGTCTCTCCTGTATCCCCAGTTGTTACTATTCTCTTTATCTCCTTTTCTTCTGGATTCCAAAGATCTTTTGCAATGTATACATTCTGAAACTTTGAGCTACCTCTTGAACTCAGGACTTCCAAGTCACAGGTGAATTGTGAATCTCATTTTTAAGCTAAAAATCTACTTGTCAAATTGGTGACTAAGACTAGTTAAAATTTCTACTCAAGCTGAACATTTTTGTTTTCTAAGGCCTGCTGAATATCTTCAGAGGAAATTTGAAGCTCAGCAATATAAGTTGAAAGTAGAAAGACAATTGGTGAGTAAAATATCAACTATAAGACACATCAGGAATTTCCTAATAGTGTCTCTGTTTACAAATATCCATGGATCCTTAAGTCAAGGTTCATTTCATATAGAAGATCAAGACTACCCTCCACCTTCCTTCGTTTTTAATAGCTTAAAGAAGAATAATGGGAATAGGCTTGAATCAGGGTCTGGGGATCCTGGCTTCTTCCCTGGCTCTATCACTTGCTATGTGATCTTAGGCAGGTCTTGCAACCTCTCTGGGCCTCAATTTTCTGTTCTATAAATGATAGTTTTGGAGGAGATGAGCTTCAAGTTCTCCTTCAGTGCTGCAATTAATTCCTTGATTCTATGTTATTAGAATTCTACACATTTTTAAAAAGTGACAGTTTGTTTTTTTTAATTTATTTTTGTTACAGATGTTTCTCCTTTTCCCCCCACTGATTCCCCCCTTCCCCTGTTTTTTTTTTTTTTAATCCTCACCCAAGGACATTTTTCCTTTTTTTTTTTTTTTTTTGTCAGATGGAGTGGGAGGGAGAGAGAGGAAGAGAGAGAGAGAGAGAAACATCGACATGAAAGGGGCACATCGAGTGGCTGCCTCCTACATGACCCGACCAGGGCCGGGGACAAACTGCAACCGAGGTACGCGCCCTTAGCGGGAACTGAACGTGAGTCTCTCTGGACCACAGGCCAATGCTCTAACCACTGAGCCAAACCGGCCAGGGCAACAGTTGTTTTTTATTTGAATTGAAAGTTAACCTTTACCATTAAGTATAGTGTCAAAATTTGGGGGTAGAGAGAGGCAGGATAGCATCGTATTTGTGTTGCTCTTACTTTGAACTTGTGAAAAGCTCCAGTTCTATTCCCCCAAGCTAATGTCATGCTCCAGGGGTTGCTAAACTTTTACTGAATTTTAATTCAACAATTATAATTTTCCAGTCCAGAAAACGAATCTAGGTATCTCATATTGATTGCTTTCGGTAAACAACACAAATGGTTTTATTACTTTTCTTTAATTTTTTTAATGTTTTGTACTTAAGAAAATGTACTGCTCACTCTAAAAAACTCCATAATACTGAGTTTAATTGGTGATATAATTTTTATTTAAAGGAAGAGGTCAAGGTCAGATCAGAATGTTTTCTAGTGCAAGTATGTTTTATTATAAATTATTTCATTCAAATAATAGGGTCTTCGTCCATCTTCTGCTGAGCTAAATCACCAGAGACAAGGGCTAAGAAGTAATGGAGAAGAACCTAGATTCCAGGAGCTGCCCTTCAGGAGAAACAAAATGAAGGAACAGGTTAAAGACAGTCTCATTGCCGGGTCACCCTTGTACTTATATCGTCGTCTTTTGTGCTGTAATAGGGTGTTTCTTTTAGTGTCTACAGAATACACCTGGGAGAGCTTGTTGCACAGATACTTGTTGGACACACTTGTGGGAAGCACCATTCTGGGGTTTTAGGGGATACAGAGATATATGTCTCACCTCTGTGAGAATGCAACATAGCTAAGTTCATAAGGCGTCTTACTCTGGATTGATAAATTAACTGCCATCATCAACAGTTTTGAAATTTGTATTTGTTACCTAGGCTGCCTTGAAGTACAGAAAAATGGGTGGTTTAATACAACAGAAATTTATTATATCACAGTTCTGGAGGCTAGACATCCAAAATCAAGGGGTGGCAGGGCCAAGCTCCCACAGGAACCTATAGGGGCGCCTTTCTCGGCCTCTTCCTAGCTTCCGGCGGTTTGTCAGCAATCTTTGGCAATCCTGGGCTTATAGCTGCATATCTGTGTTCTCTGCCATCGTCACATGGTGTTCTCCCTGTGTGTTTCTGTCTTCACATGGCCATGGTCTTTAAAGGGCACCAGTCATGTGGACCAGGGGCACACTCTACTCCAGTGTGACCACATCTTAGCTTAGCTACTTACATCTGCAGCCACGCTCTCCAAATAAGGTCACGTTCTGAGGTACTGGGCATTAAGACTCCAAAATATCTGTTCTGAGGGGAAAAAAATTCTACCTGTAACAGGATTATGTATAAAAGTAGGATACATATAGAAATTGTATGTCATAAACACATTTGAGATTATATATGAAACTGTATGACAGTACCACAGCCGAGAGTAAGGTGGTTATCATCTTTAGGAGCAACAGGTTTTCTAATTCTGATTATATGTCACACATTTGAAAAGTGTAGGCTGTATAGAGATTGTTTTGTCAAGTTATTCACAGACATTAACATTTTTTGGACTGGAATTGCTTTCCAGGAATATTGGAAGCAGTTAGAGGAGATTCGCCAACAGTACCACAATGACATGAAGGGAATTAGGAAGAAGATTGGGAGTGAACTGGAGGTAAATATGTTTATTCTCCTAAAGGAAACGCACTATTGATTTAGAGCTAACTAAATTGAGCAGGTATTAAAAAGTAGTGATCTCATAGGAAAGATAACTTTATCATGCAAACTCTTTTTTAAATAGGAAGGTTGTCAGATCTAATTGAAGCTTTGCTTTGTTGTTTACTTGAGGCTTACAGCTGATGAGGTGTCTGACATTTGCAGGAATGGTGATTACGAAAAACGCTTGTTGAGTGTCTTTCTCCTGAATCAGTCGATAACTATTGACTGAGCAGTCATACTACATCAGAACTGGATTAGATGCATTAAGTAAATCATGCCCATAAGGTGGGGAAAAACACCAGCATTTACTGAATTCAACTGTTGGTATAGTCTCATACACAAGGGTAAGATTCTACATTTCGTGTAAGGCAACATTGGAGTGTCATTAAGATAGAAAATTGCTTAAAGGCATCACATTGGAAACTCATTCTTCTACCTTTTAGGTCACCGCTTTTTTAGTAGGACTCCTAATGAAATAGCTGGCCTGTGTTTGGAGACCCTGTTATATAAAAAACACGTGATATTTAAATACTAGAGACATCCTCTGTGCCTGGAATGCTCCTCCTCTGAGAGGCCCGTGCGACCAGACAAGACACAGCTGGGTTCCCGTTGTACTGGCACTTGGGCTGCGCCCTCACGGAGCAAACTGTCCACACTGCTTGCTGAACTTGATCTTTTCTCTTTCCCCATCACCTCCACCCCCAAGTGCCTGTAGATGAATTAATATAGGTGCAGTGAGCATATGCTACAATTCAGTTGTATGTACTAGAGCTTCACATGCTTTGTCTCATTTACTCCCGATACAGAGAAGTTCAGCAACTCATCCACACGAGGAAGACTAAATAAATACCTGGTTCTAAAACCTCTATGCTTTCTAGCATATGCTCTTCTACTCATAAATAGTTAGAAAAATAAGACACACATGTTTAAAGCAATTTTTGAAGTGGACTGAATATAGTTAAGTTCTTTAAGCGCCTGGGAGTAAGGCTGTAAGGGTGAGGGTCTTTATGAAAGAAGCAAGGTGGAGCCTAAATTGGGTCTGAGAAGGAGTTGAGTTCAGAGAGGCAGGGCTAAGGAGGGGATCATTCTGAAAGTACACACATAGGTTCAGATGGAAGACTGTCTGTGCTGGGAGGGTGGGTTGGAGGTGGTTCTCTGCAGAGCAGAGACTGGGTACTGTCATCAGCTTTATTTTTAAAGTAGGTTTGCGATGGGAAACCCAACTTGAGGAAAGATGGAGAGTGGACATTTCTAGAGAGACCGTGAAAGAAGCACTCGGGGAACTGGGGATACCGAGGCAGCGAGGGGGGAAAGGGGCCATGAGAGAGCTCTATCCGGCCACTGCCATTGCACATCTCTGGAACAGCAGGTGGAAAGCATTTGCTCACTAGATCCCATTTAAACTCTGGCCAAGGGTTAAATTAAATGGCCTTTAGAACTGATGCAGAATCTATCTTGTTGACTGTGTATAATTTGTGTTAAAGGAAGACTCAAAAATAAGTCATAAAACCTACCTGGTAAAAAAAAGGAACCTGCCCATCTATCAAGAGACACCCGAGGAAGAAGCAACTGTGCAGGTGATGGTTATTGGATGTCTATATGTTTCCCAGGGAGTTTTTCCTAGCCCACTGTTCTTACCCTTCAGAGTGCAGTACAATCATGTGGAAAAATATTGTTCAACTCCAATTCCTAGACTGGGGCAGGGCCCAGGCAACCTGTTTGCAGAAGCTGACTGGTGAGCATGCAACCAACTTTCAGAACTGCTCTCATGAACATATGACAGTTCCGCCCTCTGCATGGTATTTGAGTCAGGATCTGACACATTGGTCAGGAAATCTGATGGTTAACTTCTCTTCTGTTTCAACTTTACATTTTTGGGAGCAGGGAACTGGTCAGAGCTGAACCGTGAAGTGGCTCTTGAGATAGGTTGTTGTTTTCTTCTTCGTCTTCATCTTTTACCTTTATCTTCAAGGTGTCTCGGGGCTTGAGGAAGGGCAGGTGAGAAAAACCAGTGTTGAGTGAAGGCAAAAGGCCTCCTTGAATGTATTCCTTTGAGAAAAACCCGGGGACCTTCACATGATGCCAGAGAGATCTAAAGTGGACTGAGGTTGAATTTGCACCCAGTGAGGTGGATGGGGCTTAGGAATCTAATATAGTTGTATTTTAAGGAAAGTAAAGCAATATGATACTTGTACAATTGAGACAACCAGACTACACAATCCAATAAGACAATCGATTTCACAAATATAAGTAAGATATAAAATCATAGTCCTGTTTCAGAGTTCATAATATTTCAAGGCAGAAAAACACCTTTCCCAAAGTAGGAGGGCAAACAACTAAAAATGATTCAAACTGACACATGCTTTATGTGAAGTTTATGCAAAGGCTGTGGCAATCCAGATGAAGCAGTAATTGATTCTAAGGAAGAGATGATGGAGACCTACTGTACAATGGTGAAGAGAAGAGAGCATTAAACTCACGCACGTGCACACACACACACACACACACACACACAGAACCCTGGCTGGTTTGGCTCAGCAGTTAGAGCGTTGGCTTGTGGACTGAAGGGTCACAGGTTTGATTCCTGGCCTGGTCATGTGGGAGGCAACCAATCAATGTGCCTCTCTCACATCAGTGTTTCTCTCTCTCTCTTCCCCCTTCCTTCCTTCCACTCTATCTAAAAATTAATGGAAAAATATTCTCAGGTGAGGATAAACAACAACAACAAAAATAAAGACACTGAGGAGAGTAATAAATTTTTGGCTTGAAAGGGATAGTACCATTTCCTATGATGGGGAAGAGTGGGGAGTGAACTTACGTTGGCGGACTATCAAAGGTTCCCTTTGGCTCTGCCACTGTGGCTCAGTGGGCTGAGCGTCGTCCCATGGACTGAGAGGTCCCAGTTCGATTCCTGGTCAGGGCACATGTCCAGGTTATGGGCTCGATCCCCAATGTGGGGCATGTGGGAGGCAGCTGATTTATGTCTCACTCTCACATTGATGTCTCTCTCCTCTCTCTCTAAAAATAAATAAATAAATAAATAATCTTAAAAAACAAAAATGTTCCCACAGGACATGTTGACTAGAGAAAGTCTGAGATGGCATCCCTGCTTTGGTTCCTTTGCCCTGCTGCTCCCTCTGACGGAATTGATTTCCCCAGACCCCAGGCCAAGGCCACCATCATTCCAGGGCTTAAAGCAAATACCAAATATTATTTTCCTGCATTACTCTCTCCCCCTACTCTATGCCATGCCCTATTTTATTTCCTTTATGGCACTTAACACTTTCTGAAATTATGTTGTTACTCTGTAAATTCATTTACTACCTACCTTACTCCAGTAAGTTCTGTCAGCAGGGACCTTCGGTCACACTCACTGCACTAGCTTGTTGGACAGTGTCTGGCCATAGAGGGTGCTCAATAGGAATTTATGGAATGAATATTGAAGTGAAGATGATACTAAGTAGGCAGATGAATATCTAAGTCTGAAGTTCAGAGGGGAGGACAGATCAAACCTGAAGATACATGTTTAAGAGGCATTGCGTAAAGATAGCTCTTAAATCCATAGGAATTATTTAGACCTTCTGTATTGAGGAAGAAAGAGGCAGAGGGTCCAGGGAAAAGCTCAGCATATAAAGTTAATCTTTCAGCTGTTTCTGTGAAATTCTTGTCAAGGTTTAGAGCCTTCTTCCTTTATACTGTAATGAGCTCTGTACTTTTCCTGATTTCCCGATTAAGATCATAAATCTCCTAAGGAAAGGATCCTGTAGTCAAAATTACATTTTTGAATTAAATTAGGTTGTATTGGACTGGACTAGAGTGATAAGCATTGTTACATTGTAGAACTGTACCCATTGCAATGCCAGTGTTGTGTATTAATATTTTGAGTTAATGGACACTCTCCCCAAGTTTTAGTGAATTATTAGTAAAGACATGTTTTTATTATCAAATGATTCATCAATTTAATCCAGAAATCAAATAATGTAAGCATACCATGTTGTGATTTCAGAGGGTGTGAAAATATAATAGTTTGATCAATATTAAGTGTTATATTTGAATTTTTCTCTAAACTTTCAGGGTATCGAAAGAGACTTGAAACAAATTAGACTTCAGAAGATACAGGAAAGTAAAATTCCAGAACAAAAATATAAAGCTAAGGTAATCAACAGTTTGTCTTTGGTTTCCTATTAAGAAGCTGGCTGGTGGCGGGGCAGTCCCTACCTTACAATCTGGTTTGCCTACAAGGTGTTTCCTCCTACTAGTTTAGGAAGTGCTGTATTTTGTAATGCTAAACTATTGGTTTTAAGTATCTATAATGTTGAATTTGAAGGTGTTTATTGGATTGCTGAACTAAGATATTTTTTCTTGCTTCTAGAAAGGGGTAAAGTTTGAAATTAATTTAGACAAATGTACTTCTGATGAAAGTACTCTCCAAGAGGAAGAGGTATGTCATTATGTATATATTTTTATTAGTAGGCTTGAGAAAATGAGTGTCTTGGTAGCACGTTTCATGAAATTTTTTTCATAGGGCAAAGGGAATTTTCTTAAATCTTCCTGGAAGGATCTCTGGTGTTCAAATAGGTTTTCCAAAATACTTCATCCTCCCATTCTTTTTTAAATTGAGGTTATTCCCTTAAATGGATTATTTTAATTTAATTTTTAAAAATATGTTTTTATTGATTATTTTAGAGGTAGAGGAAGGGAGAGATAGAAACATCGATGTGAAAGAGAAACATCGATCAGCTGCCTCCTGCATGCCCCCTACTGGGGATCGAGCCCACAACCTGGGCATGTGCCCTGACTGGGAATTGAACTGGGACCTCTCAGTCCATGGGATGATGATCAATCCACTGAGCCACACCTGCTGGGCTAATTTATTTTTCTTTTATGAAGTATCTATTTTCCTATATTAACTTTTAATTATAGCCAAATTAAAATAGAAGACTGGCCTTTGGGTAAAGCTCAATTTTGCATTTTGGCTCTCATTAATACAGCGATAAATACATAATTACAGTAAATTCAAACCTCATTTTATTACTTGAGTTCAACATCTCTTTTATTCCCACTTTTTACTAGACCTGCTAATATCAAAATGAACTGATTTGTGTTTCCATTTTACCTTCTCTCATTTTGCCTTTTAAATTACCAAATATTAAGTACATGTATATATGTTCTATATCATACCTGATGGCCAATTTCTTTCTTTTATGTTCTTAGCTTAAAATTTTTAATATTTTAATTTCTTTCAGACTTGTGTGTGTGTGGTGAAGGACCAGTTTTTTTGGTTTTGGTTTTTAATAGGCTTCCATGTTTTAGAGCAGTCATGGCAAAGTTGAGTGGAGGTACAGACAGAGATTTCCGACATATCCCTGCCCCCACACATGCACAGCCTCCCCGGCCATCAGCATCCCCAAAGAGGGGAACATTGGTTACAACTGAGTAACCTATGGTGACTCATAGTCACCCAAAGCCTATAGTTCACATTAGGTTTCACTCTTGGGGTTATACATGCTATGGGTTTGGATAAATGTGTAGAAGCATGTATGCACCATTGTGATATCATGCTGAATATTTTTACTGCTCTGAACAGCCTCTGGGCTCCACCTGTCTTTCAGAGTTTTACTAGTATTTTGCTGCATAAGGACTTCATTAGAATGGGGGTAATTAGCACTCACCTCTACTCAACCATTATGCCTCTACGTATCCGAGGTCTGTGAGCATTAGAGGGGAGCAGATATGGGGACTGTTTCTGGGGTGGAAGCTGAGGAGTGATACACCCACAGTGCTTCTGTGAGTGAGGCGCTCATGCTGGCCTGCTAGAATAAAAAAAGCGTCAAAAATTAAAAAACGCGTCAAAAAAGTTTATCTACCAGAGCGTTCATCCTTTATTAAATAGACTGTACTTTGATATGCTTGAAACATACTGATCATTTTTTTATTGATTATGGAGTATGTATTAGGAGCAGTTTTAGGGACCCAAACAGGAATGTTGTATACTTAAAAAGGGTGTGGAGCAGATAACCATGAGAATTCTGTAAAATAAACTGCCGTAGAATAGTAGTGAAGACAGGAAGTCTGGATAGAAGTTGCCATATGATCAGTGCTTGTCACAATTGAGAAAAAAATGAAAACATTCTGTTTCTATTTTGTTTTAACACAGTTCCACTTTTAAAACTTGACTGATTTATTTTCTATAGATATATGAAATATTTGCCTTATATCTTGGTAAATGTTATTACTGGGAACATAAAAATTTTGTTTTTGTTTTTTTTTCAAAATATGGCTTATGTCTCTTGAAACACTATGGAATGGCTCTAGGCCGTGGACATACTAAATGAAACTTTGACCTTTGAAGATGGCATGAAGCTTAAAGAAAATAAATGTATAAAGGAGCATGAGGATTATACAGATGAAGCATTTGAAAAACTCTGTTGCCCAGAAGCAGGTATGTGCACCTTCAAAGTCGTAGGTGAGAAGGAACTGTTTTATTAGCATCCATCTCAAACTCTTCCTGCAGCTCCCCTGTCACCTGCCCCCTGCTTTCCCTGAGCTGGGCAGAGACCTGGCTGTGCAGTCTTTGCCCACCTCATGGGGTCAGGACTTCTGAGACTCGGCGCTGGTCTCTTGGGCAGTTTCACCTCCTTCCTCGGCTCCAGCTCTCCCAGCCAGCAGCTCCACGTGCATCCGCTTTTCTCCTCTGCTGGAAAGCTCCCTGCGCAAATCCCACTAGCATCTCAAACTCAGCATGTGTATGCGCATTACCTTCTGTGATCCTTTACTGTGTACCGCTGTCCCCAGGCTGACAGTTCCTGCTGCCCAGGGTGTTTTCTACTCTGAGATGTCTCTGGTGAGTTGCTCCTCCTTCATCCTCTCCACTGCTCGTCTGGGGCCCCGTCATCTCTGAGCCGTGTGTGTGGTAGAAAATGCGTGGGCTTTGGAGACAAGCGGAATCCCAGCTGGCACTGCCGCTTTCTACTTGTGTGTCCTCTCACCAGTTCCTTAAACCCTCTGCATTCCGAGGACCAGGGATGAGGTACCTGCCACACAGGCTTACTGTGAGGACTAAAGTGAAATTTGGTACATAATCTGGCACATGCTAGGTGCGTAATACATGTTATTCCTTTATTTTCCCTTTCTCTTCCCCTCACTGAATTGCCTATGTGTCCTCCTTTTCTTTATTATTTATTTCCCTTTCATTCTCTAAGTGATTGCTAGTTACTTTACCATATGATTACCCTTCTCAAAATACTTTTTTGTTTTGATAATGCATGTAGGGTACACTCAGTTCCACATAGTATCACATCTGGCCTGATCCTATGGTGACCCACTTTTCCTACCCCAGCACCCCCTTTTTCCTTCTACCAATGTTGGGATCTGTGCATAACTATGTGAGCATTTACACATCCTAGTTTGGCTCAACTTACACTTCCTAGAATAATACATTTTGTCTCATTTCCATATGGAAAAATCTTAATTCAATTTAGCGGGCTTCTTCTTGATAATCTCCATTGTGCCGCAGACTGTGCTAGGTGGTGGGGAATCTCAAAGGTGAATGAGACCTAAAAGTCACAGAGGTGCTGGCACAAGAACAGGCATATAGATAATGGAATAGAACAGAGAACCCAGAAATGGACCCAAGTCATTATGCTTAATTAATATTTGACAAAGGCGGCAAGAGCATACAGTGGAGTAAAGACAGCCTCTTCAATAAATGGTGTTGGGAAAATTGGACAGCTACATGCAAAAATATGAAGCTAGACCACCAACTCATACCATACACAAGAATAAACTCAAAATGGATAAAATACTTAAATGTGACTTGTGAATCCATAAAAATCCTTGAAGAAAATGTAGGCAACAAAATTTCAGACATCATACGCAGCAAAATTTTCACTGATACATCACCTAAGGCAAGAGAAACAAAGGGAAAAATGAACACATGGGACTACATCAAACTAAAAAGCTTCCATACAGCAAAAGAAACAACCATCCAAATGGAAAGGGAACCTACCGTATGGGAGAGCATAATCTCCAATGATACATGAGATAAGGGGTTAATTTCGAAAATATATTGAGTACTCATAAAACTCAACATAAGGAAGACAAAGAACCCAATTAAAAAATGGGCAGAGGACCTAAAGAAACACCTCTCCAAATAGGACATACAAATGGCCAAGAGACATGAAAAAATGCTCAACAGTCATTAATCATCAGAGAGATGCAAATTAAAATGACTATGAGATATCACCTCACAACTGTCAGAATGGCTACCATCAACAAATCATCAAACAAGTGCTGGTGAGGGTGTGGAGAAAAGGGGACTCTAGTACACTGCTGGTGGGAATGCAGACTGGTGCAGTCACTATGGAAAACACTATGATGTTTCCTCAGAAAGTTAAAAATTGAATTGCCATTTGACCCAGTAATCCCACTTCTAGGAGTTTCACTCTAAGAAGCCTGAAACACCAATCATAAAGAATGTATGTACCCCTATGTTCATAGTAGCATTACTTACAATTGCTAAGATCTGGAATCAGCCCAAGTGTCCATCAGTAGATAAATGGATAAAAAAAGCTGTGGTACCTATACTCAATAGAACACTATGCAGCTGTAAGAAAGAAAGATCTCTTACCCTTTGTGATGACATGGAGGGACCTGGAGAGTATTATACTAAGTGAAACAAGCCAGTCAGAGAAGACAAATATCACATGATCTCACTTATTTGTGGAACATAATGAACAAAACAAGCTGATAAACAAAATAGACCCAGAGACATAGAAGTAGGGTACTGACTGACAAACCTCAGAAGAGGGGAATGGGGTGGGGAGAGGGAAGAGATAAACCACAGAACTTATATGCCTGTATGCGTAATCATGTACATAGACAACAGTGCTGCGGATGGGGGAGGGGGATGACAAGGAGGGTGTCAATGGGGGAAAGGAGAAACATCTGGAACAAAAATAAATTAATAAAAAAATTTAAATAAAAAAAAAAAGCTTGGGAAAAACACACAAAACAGTCACAGAGGGGTCATGAGCCAAAGAAAGGAGGTACAAATAGGTGTTCTGAGTCCAAAATGCTAATCATTGCTAGAGTGCATGTTGGCTGGAGACTCACAGAGGTACCCACTCCTGTATAGCTTGGCATGCCAAAGAGCTTGGGCTTTATCTTTTGTGATGACTTTCAGTTAAAGCAAATTAAGTCCTTTGTAATGGAGAAAGATCACCTGGCTGCAGTGTGAAGGAGGGTGTGGAGGGGTGGGGCTGAAGGAACCTGAAGAGTCCAGGAAGAAAAAGAAAGGTGCACAGACCAGAGCAGTGAGAATAGACACGGAGTGGGAACCACAGAGTTGGGGGCTTGAGAAGGAGGAGATGGTCAAATAGCCTCCTAGTTTTCTAGTTCATGTGACTGAAACTGACACGAATCAAATAGGCATATACAGAAATATTGTGGGTTCAGTTCCAGAGCACAGCAATATAATAAATAGTACAATAAAGTGAGTCACAAGAATTGTTTGGTTTCTCAGTGAATATAGAACTTAGGCTTACACTCTATTTGTAGTTTTTGAGTGTGCAATAGCATTGTGCCTAAAAACAATGTACAGTACATACTTAATTAAAAATACTTTATTGCTAAAATATGCTAACCATCATCTGAGCCTTCAGCAAGGCATAATCCTTTTGTTGGTGGAGGGTCTTGCCTCAGTATTGATGGCTACTGATTGATCACAATGGTGATTGTTGAAGACTGGGGTAACTGTGGCAGTTTCTTAAAATAAGACAACAGTGAAATGTGCTATATTGGTGGACACTTTCTTTCACAAGTAATTTCTCTGTATCATGCAGTGCTATTTGATAGTATTTTACCCACCATAGAACTTAGCTCAAAATTGGAGTCAGCCCTCGCCAGTTTGGCTCAGCGATTAGAGCATCAGCCCATGGACTGAAGGATCTCTGGTTCAATTCCCAGTCAAGGGCACATATCTGGGTTGCAGGTTCAAAACCCAGCCCTAGTCAGGGCCATGCGGGAGACAACCAGTCAATGTGTCTCTCTCACATCCATGTCTCTCTCCCTTCCTCCTCCCTTCTCTTCCACTCTACCTGAAAATCAATAGAAAAAATATCTTTGGGGGAGGATTAACCAAAAAAAAAAAAAAAATGGAGTCAATCCTCTCAGACCCTGCTGCTGCTTTATCATCAACTAAGTTTATGTGATATTCTAGATCTTGTGTTGTCATTTCAATAGTCTTTGCAGCATCTTCATTAGCAGCAGTGGATTCCGTCTCAAGAAACCGCTTTCTTTGCTCATCCATAAGAAGCAACTTCTTATCCATTAACATTTTATCATGAGATTGCAGCAGTTCAGTCACATCTTCAGGTTCCACTTCTAATTCTAGTTCTCTTGCTATTTCTATGACATGTGCAGATACTTCTTCCACTAAAGCCTTGAAGTCATCCATAATTGTTGAAATCAACCTCTTCCAAACTCCTGTTAATGTTGATATTTTGACATTTTCCCATGAATCACAAATGTTTTTAATGGTATCTTGAATGGTGAATTCCTTCCAGAAGGTTTTCAGTTTACTTTGCCCAGATCTAGCAAAGGAATTGCTGTTTATGGCAGCTATAGCTTTATGAAATGTATTTCTTAAATAATAAGTCTTGAAAGTAAAAATTACTCCTTAATGCATGGATTGCAGAATGGATGTTGTGTTAGCTGGCATGAAAACAACACTAATCTCATAAATCTCCATCAGAACTCTTGGGTGACAGGTGTGTAATCAATGAGCAGTAATATTTTGAAAGAAATCTTTTTTTCTGTGCAGTAAGTTTCAATATCGAACTTAAAATATTCTGTCCACCATGTTGTAAACAGATGTGTTGTCATCAGGCTTTGTTGCTGTATTTATAGAGCACAGGCAGAGTATGTTTAGCATAATTCTTAAGGGCCCTAGGATTTTTGGAATGGTAAATGGGCATTGAATGCTTCAACCTAGTCACCAGCTGTGTTAGCCTCTAACAAGAGAAGTCAGCCTGTCCTTTGAGGCATTGACTTCTCTCTAGCTATAAAACTCCTAGATGGAATCTTCTTCCAATATAAAGCTCTTTTGTCTTGTCAGTCAATTTTAACTAAGAACTGCAAGGCAAACAAAAGCTTTATCTGGGGGTCTTTTTTAGGAGTTGTAATCCAGGAGACACACATTTGGGTAGAAACTCCCAACTCTGTTCCAATGGTAGGAGAAAAGAAAGGTCAGAGTTTATAAGGACAGAAAAATGGGGGGCTTTTAAAAGGATCACCTGCCCTGGCCGGTTTGGCTCAGCGGTTAGAGCGTCCACCTGCGGTCCAGAGAGACCCGGTTCGTTCCCGCTAAGGGCATGTACCTCGGTTGCAGTTTGTCCCTTGCCCTGGTTGGGTTGTGGGGGAGGCAGCCATTAGATGTGTCCCTTTCACCTCGATGTTTC